TTTTCAAGCAAGATGACCATTTCTTCAGCACAATTCACCTTCTCCCTACACCCTTCCCAAAGCAGCTTTTACTTCCCCATTCCCCAGCCTGTGGTCAGATGTTCATTGCAGAAAGCTCCTTGACCCACTGCCAATGCTCTTCTCAGGGTGCTGGTGGGTACCTTTGCTGCAAGGGCACATTGATGGCTCATTTCAACTTAGTGAACACCACAACCACCTTGTCCCTCTCTGCTAAGCTGCCCCCAGCCTATCTTGGTGCTTAGAGCAAGTCTTCCCCATGGTCAGCACTCAGCATTTTCCCTTTTTGAAGTCTGATTCCACCTGCCCATTTCGGACCCAAAACTGGCCTTTGAAAAGCCATTTTGCTTCATATGCCTCCAAATTTGAATAACCTCAGGGTGGCTCTTTCCTGCTTGCAAAAGGAAGAAACAGAACCAAGAGTGGGACTTGTTCCCTACATGAAAAAGCATCTCACAGCAGACAGGGCTTTGCTAAGACCTTAACACCTTTAAATGGGGTCAGAAGATCCAGCTGAAGTTGTCTACACCCACCTCAGACATGGGGATGAAGGCAACTGCTGTTTCCCATTGCTAATGGCTCACACACTCAATGGCAACCTCCTCATCCTCATTCTTCTCCCTCACCTTGTGTACTGCTTACATAACTTTGACCAACATAAACAGCAGACATCTCAAACACACACCTTGCATCTAAAACCACCCAAAACAGTCATTCTCAGTACAACTGCTTGTTTAAGGAATGCAAACCATCACCCATCCCACATCAAATACCCATATCAAAACACACACAGAAGCATCCCTTTCTCTGTGGTCTCTGCTTTACACACACATGCTGACACTGCAGGTGTGTAAAGCCAGCTGAATCCAGTCCTCCCATGGGTCTGTCTGCCTTTGCTCAACCCAACCTTCCCTTTCCAACATTCAAACTTTCTCAAGATAAAGGAAATGCACATTGCTCTTTACTGGGCTCAAAAATCATAAACTGGAATCCCGGACTGGTTTAGACTGGGAAGGAGCTTAAAACACATCCAGTTCTAACGCCTCCCACAGGCAGGGACCTCTTCCACTAGAGCAGCTTGCTCCAAGCCCCTGTGTCCAGCCTGGCCTTGAGCACTGCCAGGGATGGGGCAGCCACAGCTTCTCTGGGCACCCTGTGCCAGCGCCTCAGCACCCTCACAGGGAAGAGCTTCTGCCTAAGAGCTCATCTTCATCCATCCCATCTTTCCAAGCCATGAACAGTGATAAAGGCAGACACAGAAATGAACTCACCAATGTCTGAAGACAATCTCCTTGCTTCTTCCACCAGGACCTCAGAAGGTTTCTTCACTCCATGGCAGCAATGGTATCTAAAAGAAGCCACTCTAATATCTCCCAGTTCTCTTTCAAAAACAAAGTAAAGATAATACGGCCAACAACATTAAAGGGAGCACCAAAATCAAACTGAATTTCTCCTTCTTGTTTCTACACCAAGGGAAACTAAGGTAGCTCAGCTTCCAGGTGCCCTGCAGAGAAAAGCTTGGTACTCCATGGTCCTGGTGTTTCCTATAAACCTAGAATCCATACACTGGAGAGGAATCACATTCCCAGTGTAGAATCTACACATTCAAAGCCTAAATCTTCAAATCCTTTCCAATCCAAATGAAAAAACATACACCCCCTGCTTCATGATCTTTCTTAACTCACCAGCTAAAACAGACATAGCAGAGACCTCCAAACACAACCTCACTCACTCCCTTTCAGACACAGCTTACACTAATGAGCAAACAAGAGCCCCTCTTCTTACCTATTTATGAGCCAAGGTGCCATTACAGCTAATGAGACTCAGGCCAATGCAATCAGCAGAGTTCATTCAGATCTCTTCAGCTGGAGCAATGGAGGTGTCTGCCTTGCAGTGAGATGCATGAATCCTACCAAACCTCCCACAGCAATAAAGGGAGCTGATGGACCCAGCAAACACATAGAGGTGACATGGTGCATTCAAATGTAAGGAGATAAGTCATTGCTTAGAGACATTTAAGGTGGTTCTTTGGTGATCCAATCACCAAGTGCCCAAAGAAGGGGAGGCAGCTCCTACCCAGCATTTGCTCAGCTGCCTTTAAACCAGATTTAACTACAATGAAAGCAGCTCCACCTGGAAGGGGAGAGCTAAAGCCATTAGGAGCTCATCAGCAGCAATGCCAGAAGCCAGCCTCCTCATTGCCTGCTCATCATGACCCACCAGGAAGATGCATTGCAATGCTGGCTGCTGCTCCTGCTTCCTAGAACTTCACATGGTGTTTCCTCTGCTCTCATGGTCAGATGATAACCCCATTGAAGGCAGTGGCAGCCCTTAGACACAGCAAACCACTGGTTTCCTTAAACACACACAACAAGGAACAAAATCTGGTGTTGAGAGCAGCACCAATGTGAAGCCACAATGAGCAGAGTGAAAGGGTTGTAGCCACAGACTTGTGTTTTCAAGACATTAGGGGCTCATGTTCCTGTTTAAACATTTAGTGATGGTGAAGGAGAGACCACCTGGACATAAAGTTATTGAATATTGTTGTAGAAGGCATCAGAGAGACCTTATTGTGGCCTTTCAATACCTTGAGTCGGGCTACAAGAAACCTGGAGAGAGGCCTTGGGCAAGGGCCTGTAGGGACAGGCCAAGGGGAATGGCTTGAACCTGCCCGAGGGGAGACTGAGCTGAGCTCTTAGGCAGAAGCTCTTCCCTGTGAGGGTGCTGAGGCGCTGGCACAGGGTGCCCAGAGAAGCTGTGGCTGCCCCATCCCTGGCAGTGCTCAAGGCCAGGTTGGACACAGGGGCTTGGAGCAAGCTGCTCCAGTGGAAGGGGTTGGGGTTGGAGCTGGAGGAGCTTTAAGCTCCCTTCCAACCCAAACCATTCCATGATTCTATGATTTCAGGGACAGAGAAAGGATTAATGCAAGGATTAATGGTGTCACATTCTTTGTGACTTGATGCCTCCTGCAAGTTCTCCATGTGCTTTATCTTGCAGGTGAGGGTAAATCTCAGATTCCCTATTGGGAATTTGCAACATGGGAAATTCCAGTTAGAAACAAAGGGATGGAGAAAACCCCACTGTAAGAGCAGTGAAACACTGAAATAAGGGGCCAGGGAGGGTGTGAAACATCTGCCCCTGTTTGTCCGCAAAGCTTAGCAGGAAAACAACCCTCATCTGGGTTAAATAATAACCAGGGAATTATGAGGAAGCTTTGGGAACAAAGCAGGATTCAGTTGATTGACCCTGGGTGCCTCTTAGTTGTGTGTTGTAAAGAAATGAGCAAACCACTTAGATCCTGACTTAACTGAATCCAGCCATGGAGCTTCTCCCTCCAGCCCAGGTTATTTCATGTCTCTAGGACAGCCCTCAGGCTCAGCCATGGCTCCAGGCTTCACATGGTCCTGGCAGAGGCTGCAGCTCTATGGGCTGAGGTAATGCACACACTGGAGTGTTTTGGGGTGGTTTATGTATGCAATGTTTGCTCATCACCCATCAGCTCTCTGTGCAGGAAAGCAACAGGAGAGACATCAGGGCAGGCAATGCCATTGCTCCAGGCTGCCACCGGCTGCCAGGTATCAGGTCTGAAGGCTGCTGAACAGCACCACAGCTCCTGTGCTCTGTTGTGGTCAGGCTGCCATGGAGATCATGGCTTTTATTGCTGCCAAAGGGGGATGGAAAGCAAAGCTGTGGAACAGGGGACAGGGGTTCCTTGATAGTATCTGCCCTTTGGTGGGCATTCATCACTCTCACATCTTAAAACACTTTCAAAGCGCCTTCATTCATAGCAGTGGTCACACAAGTACCATATTTCACTTATATTCTTTGCTGGCTGAAATGAAATGAGGTGAATGATGCTGGAAATAATTGAATGAGGTTTGTGCAACAAAACCTAAAAATCTCTCTGCATGGCATCACACTTATTTGCTATCATCTCTATTTCGCTTCCTAATGTGTTTTTGTCTTTTTCTTAAGGCCCTTAATGAATTTAACAACACCATGTAGAAATGGAGTTTGATTCAGTGGAACGGTAGAATTCACTCTCTGTTTATTCTCATTTGCCAAGCAAAAGGGAGAGCAAAAAGGAAAAGAGCTTTAAGCTCCCCAAGTCCAGGTGTTCCCCAGCACTGAGGTCTCTTCTATAGGGTTTGTGAACACTTGCAGGGCCGGTGCCTGCAGCCCTGGCCTGGGCAGCCTGTTCCAATGCCTGAGCACCCCCTGGGGCAGGAATTGTTCCTCAGCTCCATCTAACCCTGCCCTGGTGCAGCTTGAGGCCGGTTCCTCTTGTCCCATCCCTTGTTCCTTGGGAGCAGAGCCCAGCCCCTCCCGGCTCCATCCTCCCCTCAGGCAGGTGTAGAGAGCAATAAGGTCATCCCCTCATTCTTAGCTGAAGATAATTGCACGCTTGTAGTTGTCTACCTGTGCCTTGATTAGGTGAAATAAATTACTAATTAAAAAATTAGGTGAAATTAACTACTAAATATAATTATCAAAGTTTGGAGAATGAAATCATTTGTATTCTCAATGACATCAAACAGTGCATCATGTAACTCTGTTTGCAGAAAGCCCCCAAAATGTTGTTCATACTTAACCAAAACCAGAGCATCTCCCCCAATATCTCCATTCTATCTGGTCCTAAACTCACAACAATTAAGATCATTTTATTTTTGTGAGTATCCTCAATGCCTCCTTCACCTCCTTATTCCTCAGGCTGTAGATCAAGGGGTTCAGCATGGGAGTCACCACGGTGTAGAGCACCACAGCCCATTTATCTGCTCCTCTTGAGCTGTCTGAGCTGGGGAATAAATACATAAAAAAGCATGCCCCATAGAAGATGGTGACAGTGGTGAGGTGGGAGGTGCAGGTGGAGAAGGCTTTGCGCTTGCCCTCGGCTGAATTGATGCTCAGGATAGTGGGGATGATGGCCACGTAGGAGAGCAGGATAACCAGGATGCTGGACACACCAAAGAGGGATGCTGCAGTGGTCAGGATGATGTGGCTGAGGGTGGTGTCAGAGGTGGAGAGCGAGATGAGAGGGGAAATGTCACAGAAGAAGAGGTCGATGGTGCTGGAGCTGCAGAAGGACAGGGTGGACATGCTGATGGTCTGTCCCATGCCATTGGTCAGCCCCATGAGGTATGAGCCAGTCACCAGCTGGATACAGCACTTTGGGGACATCACAAGGGGGTACAGCAGGGGATGGCAAATGGCCACGTAACGGTCATAGGCCATCGTAGCCAGCAGGAAGCATTCAGTTATCCCAAAAAGTTGAAAGAGGAAGACCTGAGCCATGCACCCAGCATAAGCAATGCTCTTCTTCTCTGACATCAAGTCAACCAACATCTTGGGGGTGATGATGGTGGAACAACAGAGGTCTACAAAGGCCAGGTTGCCCAGGAAATAGTACATGGGAGAATGGAGGTGGGTTGTGGCCCTGATTAAGATGATGATGCCCAGGTTGCCCACGATGGTGACAAGGTAGGTGAGCAGGAAGAGCAGGAACAAGTAGACCTGAGTCACCGGCTCCTCTGTGAACCCCACCAGGCTGAACTCGGTCGCTTGGGTGCAATTGCTTTGTGCCATGGGCTGGATGGTGCTTTCTGTGTGAGCTCCTGGCTGGAGGTTTCTTCTCCAAGAGGCAGGGATGTCCCAGGTGGAAAAGCCTCTGTGTGGTGGGAGCTGCTCAGAGACAGTCCTGCAGGATGGAAAGGGAGAGTTCAGGCACAGATCATTGAGGAACAGGTTGGGGACAGTCCTGTGCCAGCACAGGTAGAACAAAGGGGTGCTGAAGCAGTTAAACACCATGGTACAACGTGGTGTGTGCTCCTCTGGCTCACCTTGAGATGTTGAGCAATGACCTCTGTGGAAAGCAATGGGGAGGTTCCACACCCGAGTAGCTTTACCTTAGTGCTGCGCTTTATCGCCTGTGTTAGCACTGAGCAAGTTGGCAAGAGAGAACCACAGGAGATGATGGCTCAGCACACACTGGCCTTGCACAGAGGTCTCTGCTTGGTTTGAAAGATGCTGCCCCTCACTTACATCTCAACTCTGTCTCTGCTGCCCTCCTGATGCGCTCGGAGAGGGATGTGAAGATGAACGTGCCTGGAGCTGTGCAGGGAGCCTGGGAATGAACCAGCATCAGCAAACCCCCTTCCTATTTCAAGTGATGTGGGGATGTGGGACTGTGAATCTCTTTGGACCCCAGGAGGGTGACAAAGCCCAAAGCAGGTCATTATCTCTTCTCTGTGCTGCTTGGTTTGGAGAAGTGTACCCAAAGGAGATGACCTCAGCTTGAGCAAGCAACAGGGCTTTGGGCTCCCTTAGAGCAAACCACAGAACAACCCCACCTTTCACATCCACTTTTGGAGCATTTCTGAGGCAGCTACAGCTTCACAGGTGCCATGGTTGGCATTATCATAGCAGGAAGGTTAGGGGGGACCTCACCAATTGGAGCTGGTACCAGTGTCCATCAGCAATGTCAGGCACCACAGGCAATGAACCAGCTTTCCACCCGTCTTTAATTCCTTGTACTCAAACTATCGCTCACAAGTTTGGCTGTATAGAGCCAAACGAAGATTGTTGTGACCTTGCTATTAGTGATGTAAATGCTGTCCCCTACTTCTTGTCCATGCAAACATCAATGCTCACATCACCCAAGGCACTCAGGTTGGTCAGGCATGACTTGGCCTTGGTACCTCCGTCCTGGTTACTCATGGTCACTCTGCTGTCCTTCCTCTGCCTGGAGATGGCTTCCTGGGGAATTTGTTTCTTAACCTCAGTGGGGACAGAGGCAGCCCCAGCCCCTGTGCTCTCCTCAGTGATGACATTCACCTTCTTCCACCCATCGTGCTGGAAGCACAAGAGACAAAGGAGAGCCTGAGGGAGTGGTGCCCAAAAGTGGAAGAAAGGAGACGGGGAAGAACAGATGAGGAGTGTGGTGAAGGACTGAAATGGGCAGCAACAGGAGAAAAGGGCCCTTCTGAAGGGATGCTTTAGGGTTGCCCCTGTTGCTGGTGGCTCTGATGGATGCTCCCAAGCCCAACACAGAATCACAGAATGATTTGTGTTGGAAAGGAGCTTAAATCTCATCCAGCTCCAAACCCTACCACAGGCAGGGACCCCTTCCACTGGAGCAGCTTGCTCCAAGCCCCTGTGTCCAACCTGGCCTTGAGCACTGCCAGGGATGGGGCAGCCACAGCAGCCACAGCTTCTCTGGGCACCCTATGCATGTCACACGGATTCCCACCAGAATCAGCCTGATCCCCCCGTAGTGCACACTGCCACAATCTGGGCATCATTTGGTGTTCCAATCCGTTCCAGAGCCGTGTCAAGGGTATATCTGAAAATACCAAGATGGAGGCGAAAAAAACACTAAAGGCAATAAAAGAGCGTAGATAAATCAGATTGTCTGTGGTCTTGTTGCACACACCAGTCGTAGGAAGAAAGCAAGAGTTAGAAATGATTCAAAACCAAGCCTGGATGCCTAAGGAAGAGGTTGGGGAAACCAAAGTCCCTGGTGTCAGTGAAGCTCTGGTGTCCTCTCTCACAAAACCAGCAGATAAACATTGTGCCAAAGCTAATTCCAAAACAAAGTGTTGTCAATCTACTGATGACTAAAAGTCTAATGCTGTACTTGGTAAAGAAGAAGGCACTAAGGATAAGATAATAACACTTGAATGTAAGAATCAATTTATTAATCTACTTTCATCATTGAGAAGTCTTTCTATTAATTTGCCCATGTAGGGACATGTTCTGGATGGAGAAGGACTGCCAGAGCAGTGAGCACTGGCTGGGCTGTTGGGTGCTGAGGGTGATGGGATTTAGTTTGAAGGAGCCTGGAGAGAGCACAGGGGTTTGTCTCTTGAATCTCTATAAACAGAGCTAAAGGAGAGCACCCTGGTGTGTAGGGACCATCCCACAGTACCTGAGCAAGAGAAGTAGGGCAGGAACAGACCTGGGCCAAGTTCAACCAAAGCTCCAGAGCATCAGGAAAGCTGGTGATGAGGAGGCAGACTCAAGACCAAGCCAAGTCAGTTTGAGTCAATCCCTTGTTCAGGATCAGGTGAAAAAATTGCAAGAAAGATGTATAAGAAATCCTAGGTGACCATCGAATATTCCATAGGTGTGCTGAGCTCCTACTAAACTGGAAACCAGAGCTCCTCTAGTAAAGCTCAACCTACCTGTTCTGAGCTTAAATAGAGATGGGGGAAAAATAGGAAGAAGTTGGGGATGGAGCCCCAGCTGAGGCTGCTCAGGGTGATGAAGGCCTATTAGTTAAAGGTGGGACAATTCCTCCCTGCCTCAAAATGCCTGTTTTTCACCCTTGAATACAGTGAAAGTCCAGAGGAACCAGCTCAGCTGCTGGAATTCCAGGCACTACATGTGGATAATCCCACAGGCAATGGAAAATTGGGCTCTCAAGTGTTCACAGAGGGACAGCAGCAACTGCAGAGATGGAGTCACTTGTGCTTCATGTCCCACTTGAGGACTGTGTGCAAGATCTGGAATGTCTCTAAACCCATTTTCATTGTGTATGTTCAGAACAAAACGTTTGCATGGTTCACAGGTATGTGAGAAGCATCCTATGAGCCGCCCGTAACTGCTGCCATGCAGCTGTTCTCAGATTTGGATCATCCACACCATGTCTCTCAGATGCCCAAGCACCACAATTCCTTTCAGAGGTGATTTCACACCCTTTGCTTTTCCTTCTCTTTGTTTTCCCCGGGTAAATCATGAGCAGCCCTGGAGGCTTCCTCCCAGGAGAGCACATGCAACTGTATTTACAGCCCCAGCACCACAAGCTGGGCTCTTGGAGTCTGGCAGGAGCTCACATCTCTTCACATCGGGTGCTTAACAGAGGTAAGATGCACGTAGATGTTCTCCGCTGCACTGGGGATAAATCCTTGGCTCCCATCACTCGGTGGCAGAGGGAAGGCACAAGAGGTAACAACACCACAGAGCAGAGCCTCACCTGCACTGAGGCAGTGGGTTTTATTCATCACGTCCTCGTGTCCTCTTCTGTAAAGCTGTGTTTGAAAACAGCTGTACCAAAGTGAGTTTTCTTCATGAGAAGAGGGAGCAATGTCTGATGCAGGTTGTGTTTCTTTTAAACAGGCAGCTAAAGGAAGATGCACTGAATTAATCAAGAGTTAAATGAGGATGAATCTTATTCTGTTATAAAGAAATGTAACGTTTCATATCATCAGTGGAGTATAGTCACTAACAAATCAGCCTTTGGAGTCAGCCTGTTATAACATCAACTCTATTAATGGAAGCAGCTTAATGCCCGTGGTTTTAAGATGCTTCAGCATGCTAGAGCTCAGGAAGATATAAATCATGAATTTAACAATGTCAGTTTTATCTGTTGTGAATGATCTCAAATAATTTGATTAATGTGATTTGGTAACTGGAATGATAATCAAAAGCCAAGAGAAAATATCTGGAGGTCACTAATTTGTAAACTGGGATTTCACTGGGACTGGGACTTCCCCTTGATTCATGTTAACGTGCACACTTATGAGGTTCCTCTAAGGTGTCCTCTGACACAGATTGCCTCTGAACTTAAAGTTATTGAAGATCTGATTGTTTTCTCAAATCTGAAAAACCCACATCCTTGAATAAATCCATAGTTTTGAGTGTCCCAAAAGAGAAATCTAACAATGACGTTTGCTGCTTCAATGCGCTCCTTGTTCTTTTTTAAATACCTCGATTTAAATCCATTAAGTACAGATAATGTGGGTTACAAAATGTAGTGGAATACACTAAAATGTAATATTTAAAATGGTCACTGACTGGCATTACACATGGTCCAGATCTGAATCGCCATTTTTAACCAGTTTGATGTTTCTCTTCCTTTTGCCTCAGCAGGTAACACCTGGTCATGGAAGGAAATCTGACCCAGATTAAATTCATCCTGTTAGGAATTACAGACAGACCTCGTGTGCAGACCCCTCTTTTTGTCTTGTTTCTATTGATTTACATTGTCACTTTTGTGGGGAACATTGGCATTGTCACATTGGTTCGGGTGTCTCCCAGCCTCCACACCCCCATGTATTTCTTCCTCACCCATTTTGCCTTCATTGACATCTGCTATTCCACAGTCATCTCCCCCAGGATGCTGGCAGACCTGTTAGCAGAGGACAAAACCATCTCTTTCACTGGCTGCATGATGCAGTTCTTCACCTTCGCTTTCTTTGGCAGTGCTGAGTGTCACCTGCTGGCCATGATGGCCTATGACCGACACGTTGCTATCTGCCACCCCCTGCTTTATGTGACCATCATCTCCAGCCGTGTCTGCTGGCAGCTGGTAGCAGCATCCTATGTATTCGTCTTCTTCAGTGCCATCATCTACACATGGTGCGTGTTTGGAGGTTACTTCTGTGGTCCCAACCACATCGACCACTTCTTCTGTGATGTTGTCCCTGTGCTAAAACTTGTGTGCTCTGACACCCACAGCAGTGAAATGGTCATCTTTGCCTTTGTCACCATAAATGTGGTGGGTGCAGTCGTGCTCATTTTACTCTCCTACATCTCTATCATCCGCACTGTGCTGAGGATGTGCTCAGCACAGAGCAAGGCCAGAG